AGTCTTGGGCATGTCGTTCGTGAAGACCGAGTAGAGGAAGGGCGAGAGTGGCGAGCCCTGAGGGACGCCGGCGCGGATAGGGCGGGGCGAGGAGAGCGTTCCTTCGACTCGATAGCGAAACGAGCGATTCGACAAAAAGTCCCATATGATGAGCACGAGTCTGTCCGGCACCCCGAGTTTGTATAGCTTATAAATTAAGCCATTAAGACAGACTTTATCGAATGCTTTTAAAGTGACAGTATCATTTTTAGACTAACTGGGGTTTAAGTTTGTCACTGTTTTGTAATAAGGCTAAGTCTAATTAATTATGTCAAAATTATTTTACATGGGATTTTTTTTAGGTCACCACAGACACAGTAAATATGATTGTGAAGCGACAACCTGATATCGCCTGGAACTATAGTGTGTCACCGATGGAGAGTATAATGCTTATAGATCCAGAAGAGGTTAATCTGGAGGTTACTCTCAAGGTTGAGAAAGTGAAGTCTGAATCGGACTTAGAGGAGATGCAGGATCAAAGTGAAACAGGTATTTGTTATTAGTATATATGCCAACCTCCATGGTGTGAGTGGTATGTACACCGGTTTTCGAGGTGTCACCTACTCAGAGGTCCTGGGTTCGAATCCTGGTGGGGCAAATGTTTGTGTGATGAATAGGTACGAACTTTTTGTTCCCAAGTCATGGCTGTTTATATTTGTTTCTACAAAACTATACTTCACTTCATTATATTATGTAAATTAGTTATATTCATTATATGTAGGGTGTCCAGTTGTCCACATACTAGAAAGTCAGGGAAAACAAGGGAAGCTCAAGTCTTTGATTATATACCCCTAGGTACCACATTAGCAGCACGGAAGCAGCACAAAAATATCTACTACATATGGTAGATATGCTCGTGCTTACAATCTTAGTACAATCTGACATTAGAGTCACGCACACATTGAGCGAAACATGAGCCGTTTTCTTAGCGTGATTTATTTAAATTGTTCACACACACTGACATACAAATAATTTGGCAAATCAAATATCTGCAAATGAATTCGGCTGTTCATTCATTGGGTGAGATCATGTTTATGACATGATCTTTGAAGTTTGACTTATTTCTTTATTGAACAGCAAGTAAGCATTGCTGTTACCGTTATTCGTTTTCTTCCTCATTACACGGCTGCCAAAAGGAGATGATATTATCAGAGTTCATGTATGGTATATTTTTTATATAATTTTAGTTACACATTATTAGTTTTTAATGCCCCTACCAAATATAAGCCTGATGATGATTATTTTAAAAAAAACCGGCCAAGTGCGTGTCGTGCCACGCGCAGTGCACCACAAAATATTTTGGAAAGAGTGTTTATTTTTAACAATTACTTCCTGTCCCTTTTAATGTTGTAGGGAAATTCATTAGGTCAGTCATATTTGTTGTACACCAAACCAGGATGGGTTTCTTCTATTAAGTGTTTAACATCTGTACCAGAAGGAACCACTCTTTCATAGCATTATTAATATATCTTATGGTGAAGTCTTAATTTTATTTCATTAGATTTTAAAAAAATATTAAGTAGTAAATTATAATTTATATAAGCGGTTGTGCGTGTTTAGTCGTTATCGTACGATAACCAATTAGCGAAGTATTGTGTATTGTTCAACACTTCAATCTCGTGGTGTAAGATTTCATAGGGACCAGTCGAAAACGCATCTTAAGCGGCAGAGGCAGCCTAAGGGGGCCCCACGGCCTCGCTAATGGCAGATCTACATTTACCTGTTGTCTTGTATTGCGACGCATCAGAGAGCTGTCTGTTTCATACATTTAATATGATTAGAGTGATAACGGTGTCGACACATCGTGGTACTTTAGTGTAGTTCTAACCGTGCTAAAAGTATGAAACCGATCGCGTCATAACACAACGCGGCAGTTATAAGTATATTTCTGCCTTTGACAATCCAAGTCCCGTACAATCCGAAGTAGACGAAATCTAAAACGACGAAAAAGTACAGATTTAATATCAGCAAAAAGCGCTTATTATGCTTACGCAAACTCATGGCTAAGTTACGGAATTATCTTATGGGGTAATAGTACCGACATAAATAAACTATTTGTATTACAAAAGCGATGTATACGTATATTGGTGAATATTACAGACATGGAAAGCTGTAGATCACATTTCATAAAACTAAAGATACTTACTCTTCCATGTATATATATATTTGAAATAAGTAAAATGGTGCGCAAAAATAGACATTTATATAAACATATTAGTGATACATATTTTCAAACACGTAATTTAAGAAATAGAAATAAATTGGCAATACCGTTTACTAAATTACATCTGGTAAGCTCAGGAACATACCATATGTCTGTTAAAATATATAATAAAATACCGAATCATATAAAAAACATTGAAAAAGATTGTACATTTAATAATAATTTAAAACAATTTCTTATAGATAAGTGTAATTATGATTTGAAGGAGTTCTTAAATGATAAATTTTAATGATACCTAATAATCTGTATTATTTTTTGTGTGTGTATGACATTATAAATTTTGTATATGACGTTATAATTAATGATGTTTGACTAATTGATTTGATTTTTTTTTATGACGTAAATTTGTTGACCTAAACCGAAATTATTAAACTAAATTATAATGAATATTATGTGAATGAATTTTGAATGGATTATTACTTTGAATGTTATTGTTACTTGTTTATTTATTTTTTGATTTGATTGACATACATCTCTTGACCTAACCCTAAATGTATTTTATAATTGCTTTAAGTATAATATGAATTGATTTTAAAATTATATTCTTTTTATTAACTTATTTAAATTTTCTATCTATCTTGAATTGTTATCCTATTGTAATTTTATCAAATTTTAAATTAATATTTGTACACATTTATTATAATTTGCAATGCCCTTGCAGGGCTCATGTTTGCGAGCTGTTATTAAATTTAAGAACGAAATGTAACCAACATGAAGCAATAAATATTATGACTATTATGACTATGACTAAATGGAGACGTAGATATGATTACACAAGACGCACTTCATTTCACTTTTATTAAAATCGCAAGGCGATTTTAATAAGAAGGACAATCGGGCTAAAATGTATGGACGCAGCACCCACGTCCGCCACGGCTTAAACTGCATTTGTCTGAAAGGTATTATAGTCATGATCTTCTGTGCCAAAGCGCATCAAATTCCATCCCGGGGGTCTTTAGTTATTTTATGTTAAATAGCTTCAAGAACTGTAATGAATGAACATGAATGAAACAAGGGAATTAATTTCCTATTTAGTTCGGCACAAAATAGAAGGCTCCGATATGTTATTCTGCCGCGCTAGTAGTAAATCTGTTCGTTATAGTAATTGTTTTCTACGTAAAACGGAGCGACCACAATTCACAGAAACTTGACCACGCCTCGGAGAAAACATGATTCCAGTTCATACATACTATTTGAGTCGTATCGTATTAATGGCGGCAAAATAAAAAAAATGTTTAGTCTCGTCTTTAAGGGAGGATTTTTATAATGGACATTTCACTGCGATTTGTGGTTATGACGAATGTCAATGAACATAAAACCATAGCGCAAAATGGACCGCAGGCACCATTATAATAAAATGAAATTACCATGTTGCCGCCTTATATAATAAATTATTATAATGTCCGATTTTGAACCGAAGCTTGGTAAATATGGCCGCCTTTTCACGCGAACTAAATGTTATGAGAGTATGAACAAGGTTGTCAAAATTAAAGTTTGGTAATTTTTTTATTGAAAATTAACAGTAATAAAGAACATATAATAGACTGAAACAAAAATCAAATTATTTAAAAATTAAAAGAAAGCTACCTAACATGGGATATTCATATATTTTTGCTACAGTTATACTATGTTATTATATCAGACGTAATAAATATGATAACTAAAAGCATTTGCACGTTATCACACTTCTATGTTCATAAAGTGCTGAATATACATATCGTACTTCAACGCCCTCGTCAATCCGTGTATCGCCTTTCTGGCATAGTCCTCAATGCTAAGAAACTTTGTCTCCAGTTGCTTTAAACCTATATTAAGCAATTCCGAATATACCTAATGCCAGTTTACGGCATTGTGCCTTGATTGTCGCACCGAACTTCGCGGCCACGTCTTCTGGTAGAGGCGTAGGTACGTCCCATCTCCCCAGCATATAGATTCTAAAGACTGTGGCTCATACGCCGCTTTAGCTTTTAACGAAGTCTCTCTTCTCCGGGCGTACCCAGGCGAGATAGCTGTCATCCTCAAGGCTTTACGCCTGGACCAGGTTTCTTATGAGGTGAGGGACTCTATCGAGCTCCTAGAGTTTCCTACGCCGTGGAGACCTTGCCGGTGATGTCTGCTTCCCTTATTCCCCAAGAGAGGGCCAGTAGCTTCGAGAACTGTTCCCTATATGTTGACTTAAAGTGTCCAGTCCCAACGCCTTTAGCCTTGTACGCCATGCTTCTTGCGTTGGGCGTAGATTCTTCAGTGGCTTCTCTATCTTAGGCCTTACCCATTCTAGATGTCCGAACAATTTATATGCAGTGCGGCCCATCTCAGATTCCAGTACGTCGAGGTCGGCGCCCCCGAACGTGGCTGGGGTAAGCGCATATGCTGCTGCTGTTTTCGTTTTCGAAATGTTCTCAAATACGGAAATACCCTGTTCAACCCCAGCTTTAACTGTTTCACAGTCCATTGATATAAGTACATTTGTTGTTAGCGAAAAAACAATTTTTCAGAATAGCACAAAAAATACTAACTTAATCGACAGGCAATCATGGGTCAGATTATTTTAACGACATCTGTAATCAGCTTTGCGTTTTCTTCCCCATTACACGACTACCAAAAAAGGAGTGTAATTTTGCAGAATTTTTATATTTTATGAATATTTGTTTGTTGTTAGTGTCTACCGAACACGTTTTTATGACCCATCAAATAAACGGCCGATGATTATTATTAACAGAATAATGTAATATTACAGGAGCAGACCTGATCAATGAACAGGACAAGGAAATCCAAGTTGATTCTCCAACAGCGTCAACAACAACCGAAGAAACCACAGAAACAGGAAACGATGCCCAAAATATTGATGTCAAGAGAATTACAGAATACAAAAATAACGACAGTCTTTGTAAACCAAATATTTTCACAAAATATAGTTACGAAAACAAAAATATGGTGAAGAACAAACATGATAAAGTAAGAAATCATAGAGACACTTTTATATGTGATATCTGTAAAAATATTTTTATTTGTAAAAACAAATTATTAAGTCATATTAGTAAATCACATATTGAACTTACGGCCATAACTAACCAAAGTTATACTATAAGTAATGAAATAAACTTAATTAATAAAAACAACTTAGAGAACAATATTGGTTCTGCAATGATAAGCAACCGTGGACATTCGATAAATAAACGCAGTGTGAAAACTGACCTGAAGGAAAGACCGTATAATTGTAGTATCTGTGATAAAAGATTTATTGTAAGTGGTCATTTAAACACACATCAAAGAATTCACACGGGAGAGAAACCTTATAAATGCAACACCTGCGATAAAAGATTTACTGCAAGTAGTGATTTATCCAAACATAAAAGAATTCACACGGGAGAGAAACCTTATAAATGTAACGTTTGCAATAAAAGATTTACTCAAAGTAGTGATTTATCCACACATAAAAGAATGCATACGGGAGAGAAACCTTATAAATGTAACGTCTGCGATAAAAGATTTACTACAAATGGTAGTTTATCCAGACATAAAATTACTCACACGGGAGAGAAACCTTATAAATGTAACGTCTGCGATAAAAGATTTACTCAAAAAAGTGTATTATCCATACATCTAAGAATTCATACGGGAGAGAAGCCTTATAAATGTAACGTCTGCGATAAAAGATTTACTAAAAGTGGTACTTTATCCATGCATCAAAGAATTCACACGGGAGGGAAACCTTATAAATGTAACATCTGTGATAAAAGATTTACTGAAAGTGGCAATTTGTCCAAACATCAAAGAATACACACAGGAGAGAAACCTTATAAATGTAACGTCTGCGATAAAAGATTTACTCTATCTAGTAATTTATCCAAACATCAAAGAATTCACACAGGAGAGAAACCTTATAAATGTAACGTCTGCGATAAAAGATTTACTCAAAGTGGTTATTTATCCAGACATAAAAGAATTCACACGGGAGAGAAATTGTGATCGACCAATAATTTAGTCGTTACCGTACGATAACCAATCACCGAAGTATTGTTAATACTTCAATCTCATGGTGTATGATTTCAGAGGGACCAAACTGAAACGCATCTTAAGCGCAAAAGCGGCCTTAGGGGGCTCCGCGGCGTCGCTTTTGCAGGACTACATTTATGTGTCGTGTTGTGCTGTGACTCATCAGACAGCTATCTGTTTCATACATTAGAATGATTACAGTAAGAACGGTGTCAACACATCACATATAGATAAGACTTTATTCACACCAACATGCACACATACAAAATTGAAAAGACAAATTTTACAATTGGATAAATCCTTTAAAACAGGCAACAAATTATATTTATACAACTATACAATGATATTTTCGTGTGCAGCGGCGATGCGAACGGGCGAAAAATCAGCGAAACATTTACTCAGAGAGTGAATCGATCATTTTCATTTGTGAAGATGAGGTCTCGAATTTAAATGTTAGATTAAAATTCAAAATTACATTGAACGAAATTAAAATTAAATTAAATACGAGCAAATTAAAGCGGCAGAGGCAGCCTTAGGGGGTCCCGCGGTCTCGCTTAACAACCCAAATCCAGTCCAATCCGAGGTAGGCAAAAGCTGAATGAAGTTGGAATGACTACATAAATATGATTACACTAGATAAAAGTGATTTTAATAAAAAAAATGCAAGGAGACAGTCGTAACTCAGCATAGATCCTGTTGCGTAGACACTTAATACACAAAACTGCACCAATTTTGATGACATTATTTATAGCATTTGTTCACTCCTAGTAACGATACACTACCCAAACCCTTAGATTAAAACAAAAAGGGTAGATACGGCACTAGCCTCACAAAAGTGATCCGCATAAATTGTGGCCCAAGGCCACAATCGCTTTAGTCACAACTTGACATGCAAATGACGTACATGTGAACGTCAAAAAGAAATATTGCTAAAATTTTGTGATTATAAGATAAAACAATGCCTAAGTGTTGTTTTAAAAAGTGCTCAAATTGCTCTAGTACTAAAAATAAAACCGACGGCATCACTTTTCATTCGTAAGTACTATAAAATATATTTTTTTCATAAAAATGCTGTTTGTTTTGAATCTTATTCGGTCTTGCGCTTTTTGATAGATGAATTTAATTAGATTGATTTTAAAAGAGAAACAAATTGTCTTTATTTGAAGGAAAATGATTTCAAATTTTATGTAAAAGTGCTTTAAATTAAGTAATTTGTTCCTTTTTTGGTGTGTAAATACTATTGTACCATGAGCATTGGCATAACTAATTAGCATAATCTTTTTTATAAGTATATTTCTAATGCATATATTTTTGTAAATATGCTGCTGAACCGACGAAATTCGTACCGCTAACAGTCCATGAATATAATTATCTTCAAATTTTTAACTTCATTGAATTAACGATTTTACAACCGAAATAAAACAAATACAAAAGAAAATCAATCAGTTTGGTATTTAATGTAATAGATGTAGAGAAAATTATTGAACAATGTGTACTTCAATGGTGTATTAAAATCGGGGTTAATTGATTGCCAGGTTTTTGGCACAATATTCTACACAGTCATCCCTTAACCTGTCAGTACCTTAAGACTTCTTTCGATTTAGAATGGTTCTATGTTTTGGAAACTAATACCAAAAGGATAGAGCGCGTGAAAGTTTGTGAGAGAAGGCTTGTAAAGTCACTTCTAAGTAAAAATTGTACCAAGACGTGACGTCATGGGAAATTTCATATCAACATATCTCTGTAATGTTTTAATTATGTGAATAAGAAATAAATACTTGTCCAATACTTTTATCAATCTACCTGGCCGACGAATAAAAAAAGGTTTTGTCATCAACCCTATTGCCACACAGTAGGTAGGTACCTAGTAAGATTCTTACTTCTGTTATAAAGCCCAAGGCATAACTTATTTATCGATGATGATTATTGTTTTTGTTATTTAATTTTACCTTTATATTTTTTTATTATTTAAATGAATAATTTAAAGTATAGTTTAGATTAGATTTATAAAACAAGCAATTCATGCTTAGAAGAGAAATATAATAAGTGTTTCGGATTAGATTCTTTTAAATACTGTAGACGATGAAAATTTCCAAATCCAGCAGTACAGGGTATCTTAAAAAATTGTTGACGGTATCGTATATAAAACCTACTTTTAGTAGGTACGCTTGTTAACTGATTTTTTATCAGGTGATATAATAATGTGTGTCAAATCAAATCAGTTTATGATTGGTATTTAAATATAATAAGTGTAAAGTTTCTAGTAAAAATTGTATCTCGATTAGATTCTTTTAAACACTGAATACAATAAAAATGACCACATCCAGCAGTATAAGATACCTTAAAAAAATGTTGACGTTATCATGTAAAAAACCTACTTTTAGTAGGTATACTTGTAAACAGTTTCATTCCCTCAGCTTTTCAAAGTAGATTGAAAATTGCTCAATGTGGAATTTTTTTATTGAATTTTAATAAAAAACTTATATTTAATAAAAAATACTTTTATTTCTCTGACGCTACTCTGTAGTGACGTCGAGTACTGGTCGCGTGATTGGTCGGTAGCGCAGTGACGCGGATCTCGCCGTCCCGTTCGCGCTGCCGTTGAAACTTATATTGCTGTTTCGTTCGTTCGATTGTATCTTTACAAACAGGTGGATGTGTGAGTGTTGCATATGTAGTAAAATGGGATCAGTTTTTGTTTGATGCAAGCAAGAGCGTACCGTATCTACCCTTTTTGTTTTAATCTAAGCCCAAACCCCCATATTAATAAACGCCAAATAAGCATTGACTAGTAACGCCGTGTTTTGTTCACATCACTCAAATGCCATTTATCATTCAATGAACAGAGACGAAACAGAGAGAGCAGCAGAGATGATTGCTGATGTATTTACAAAATCTCTTAGTACTGTTAAACATAAGCAGTCTGTCAGTAAATTAAACTTGTTAGAATAGAATAATTATGTTCCTAATTTCCTACAGTTAAATTCTTTTATTGTAAACTTGACATGGAATCAGTTGTTTGTTTGACATGCGTTTCTAAATGTTTAAACACAAAATGGAATCTTTAAAATTTGTGTAATTTTTTGTGACATTGTGACTATTGTGTAGAGTCAGATGGTATATTCTTTTGTGTAATTTGTAGAAACCAAAGTGTAAGGTTCAGTTTATTGAATTATAATTTTAAGGGGAAGTGTTGATGGTTAAAATTATCCTTCATGTATAGCAACACTATATACTACTGGCAACACTGGTGTTCACATCTCTCGTTACCTTTTTTGCTCTGCCTTTCTGTATTGTTTTCGCTACTTTGTTTTTACATCCATTTAAATATAAGATCATTTGGGCATGTAATTGCCTCATTTATTGTGTCTAATAAATACAAGTGCAATACGAGTTGAAGACAATATTATTTCAGCTGAACTCATCTAATAACCTGAACCTCATTCCACACATGGTTGAAGCTAAGCGACCATCCAATATATCCAACAATCTGCTTCAAAATTGAGTTGCAAGATTCCACCCAAACAAACATAGTTACATACCTACCTATATTGCAAGTCAATTAAAAGCTTGTAAAAAACCTGACTGCTGATTTTTATTCTTACCATAATTCAATAAAAGAATATTATTTTAAACTTTTGTAAGTCATGGCGCAGTCGGGTTAAAAGGAAATTACCTACAATGTAGGTAAATCTCACTAGGTAGGTACTGTACGGATCGTTTCATGCAAACTAATTATTGTCATTGAAACACTTATTTTCAAGAAATTACATTATTATTATCCATAAACAATTACTGTTTTTTAAACTCCGCCCAAATCTCCCTAATTTATTATTTTCCAGCTATCAATTCCTGTCAACAATTCGTCTCTTTTCCAAATTACCTAATAAGCTGCCAGTATACACCAAAAATATCCGATCACTACAATACCTACCATTTATTACTCTCGTAAATTATTTCATAATGATTTTTCATTTAATTCAATTATAGCCTAGTCTAGGAAACTACCTACCTACCTATTAGTTTTGTTTTTAACGTGAGATTACTCGTTTGTCTCTTTTTTCACCCTATCCACTTATTTATATATTATTCCAGATATTTTGCTCGATGGAAAAATCGAAATACCTAAATATTAAAAACAAATTAAGTACTAGTAGATGAGTATATAAAAAAATATCCTATAGTCTTACCTTTCCAATATTTCAGGTAATTTAAAAAATGATATCTATGGGTACGTTATTAAAGAGTTCAAGCAACCAAAAACAGCACAATGTCGTCGTTTGTTCTTTGCCATATTAAATTATGTAGGTATCTACATAATTCAATCAAATATTTACAATACAAAACGCACGTTTAAGCATGGCTAACTGCATAAAAAACAATTCACACCGTTCGGTCGTCGCTGCGGCGGGCGTATTCGCGACTTGGTGTCGCCCGAGATTCCGCCGACCGAGTGGCGTAGGTATGATTCGCTTTCCGACCGTTTGTATGAAGATAGAATACTGTATATATTATTACCGTGGTTGTGTTGTATACTTTGTTTTTGACTTGTTCAATGTTTGGCTTAAAAAGGACTAGAAACCAGAGCCGTAAAACATATTAATAATAAAAAAAAAATGAGGTTTTTGGCGGGATTTCATCGAGTGTGGTTGCCGTCTTATTTTGATTAATCTTTAAATTCGTTCATAGTGGACAATAAAATTGGTGTGATTTTGTGTTACAACTGTCTGCGTAACTGAAGAATTAGTAGAATCGTCAAAATATACGCTATTCCGGTCAAGTGGACGTGAGAATTTTATAGTAGTATTGACTACCTCACAGAAGCTTATCAAAAAAGCCAGCTCGATACATTTCGTGCCAAACACTTCAAGAAACATTAGAATGCGTCACACCGACTTTTTAATGTAAAAAGAAAATCAGAATAATTTAACTTAAGACTAGGCTGTATGGGCATTATTTCCCCTTGCCTTCCCTAAAAAAGGGAGAACGTAACGAAAAAAAATTTGAACGTGATGTTTGTGATGTGAGAACGTGAAATAAAAATAATTGTTTTAATCCAATAGTTGAAAATATTCAATAATGTCTCGTTTACAAGCATGCAGAGTATGCTTGGCACGTCATAGCCGTATGTATTCAATATTGAATGGGCCACTTCAACAGATTTATGAATATATCACTGAAATTCCGGTAAGATCTTTCAACTCTGGCATATTAGCGGTCTCAATAATTCAAAATTTGAAAGAAATAATTCAATCAATCAATACTTTATTGCGTTCTACAATGTTTTCTTAGATCTTAGTAGGTACATTGGTTTGATTGGAGACCCTGAACAGGGCACAGCAAATAGAGAAGAGGACGCATTCACTAATTGTAATTTAGTTAGTACGTATACAATTTACCAGCCAAATACGATAATTTTTTACCCAATTATTGTTCTTCATTGTCATTAGAAACGAGCATTTAGTCATTAAATTTAACGATTCGGTAATTTTATGCCCTAAAATATTTTTTTTACAAAACTATTATTTTATGTCTATCTATATCTGAAAAGACCAGAAAGCTACATATGCTCTACCTCATTTAAGAGCTTGTGGTGTTCAAATGCAGACAGATGTTTATAATTTTCATTATTTAAGAATCAATTATCTGTGCATATAAAACCTAAACGGGCACTTAAAATCAGTTAGGTGGATTAGGAATTATATTCATTGATTATAAAAATTTATTGTTATTACACAGTTACTTTAGTCCTTCTTAAAATAGTAAAAATATTGTCTACTATATAATGTATTTTAATTGTATGTGATTTTAGCTTGTAATGGGTGACATATGGCCGACATGCATATGCTACATTTGCTACCATATGATGAGAAAATTCAAAAAGTTTATAGATAAATCACTAAATGCGAACGAGCTCCTGTTGCAACTCATCAGTTCCGAGTCTGAGGTATTTTTTTTTAAAAACCTACAAACATTTCATTACAAAGTTTATGTTTTATGTAGCTGTTTGTGGCTTAATTTATACACTAACAGCCTTATTACTCACAATTAGAGATGGGTCAAGGGTAAAAACCCAAATGGGCAAAAAGGGCATAAACTGGGCAAATAGGGAAAAAACTTTTTTACGTCCAAATAAATGTCCAGTCGCTGGGCAAAAACTCAAAAGATAAAAATACTGTCACAAAAATGATTTTTAAATCTAAAATCCTCGGTAAAGCTTACCCACGTTTCAAATGTAAGCATTGAACACAATTGTGGCAAATAGCTAGTTGATTTTAGTAAAAATGAGTTCGTTCATATCATTGTTAACGTGAGAAAGCTAAAGGTTAGGTTATATATAACAGAAATAAAACTCATAAGCTTTATATAACATGTTTAAATCTGATTTATGAAGTTAATAATAAACAATTTACTCGCATTGTTTTTTTTATGTTATAGGGGGCATACGAGCAGACGGCTCACCTGATGGTAAGTGATCACCGTCGCCCATGGACACTTGCAACACCAGGAGTATCACAAATGCGATGCCGGCCTTTAAGGAAGGAGTACGCTCTTTTTTTGAAGGTTTTTGGGTGGTATCGGTCCGGAAACACTGCCGGCGATAAAAATCAAAAGTGTTCACCTTAAGTCATTAACATTAAAATCAGTCGTTATACTTATAGCATCCTCGCATTTTTAGTATTAATGGAACAAATATAAGTTTTGATTTATGCTTTTATAATTACTTAATTGTAGATTTGAATGACAAAAGTCAAATCTTTCCTTATTTTAAATATTATATTATTAAGTTTTCAATCTCCCGAACAAGCCGGTTTCCGAAAAGGCTTCAGTACCATAGACCACATTCATACGCTGCGGCAGGTTATACAGAAGACCGAAGAGTATAATTTGCCATTTTGCTTGACGTTCGTGGACTATGAGAAAACTTTCGATTGAGACCTGGGCGGTGTTACAGTCTCTTCAAAGGTGCCAAGTGGACTACAGGTATGTTGAGGTATTAAGGTACCTTTACGAAAACGCCACTATGTCAGTCCAATTACAGAACCAGCGCTCTAATCCTATCCAACTGCAGCGAGGCGTGAGACAGGGAGATGAGATATCTCCGAAACTGTTCACAGCAGCATTGGAGGATATTTAATGCAAATAAACACAAATGGTTGAGATGCTTGTGCATCAACCATTTGTTGAGTTCATGTTTATTTTTTTTGAAACAATGAATAATACCTAATTATATTTCGTAACACTTGTCACAAAAATATTATTTTATGGACCGAAATATACATTTTGAATAATATCTAAGGAAAAGAATTTGCCTGCTCTATAAAATCATCAAATATTTAAATAAAGTTATTTAACTAAAAAAAAGAACCTAAAATAATAAATGCCCAGTCTTAAGGACATTTATTGGACAGAAATGGACATTTATTGGGCAAATACGGAATATGCCCAAAATGCCTGGGCAGAAACCCATCTCTACTCACAATCGCAGACTAAAGTTAAACCTAGACTAAAGCTGACGCTGTCACTTTTGTTTGCTGTTATTTTAGTCTGCATCTCGGAATAAATGAAATTTTCAGAGAAATATTAGTCTTAGTCTTAGTAGAACGGCGGGCTGTTTCCGCAACTCGACACACAGTGCCTATATTGCGTGGGGATTGGCATCAGTCCTGCCATCCCAGCTCCTCCAAAAAGCTCAGCAGTCCCCGGATGTTGCTGCAGGCTTCTACTAGTGTCCGCGGGCTTCCCATTAGAGAAGTCCTTTGTCTTGCAACGCCTCTGCACTCCAGCAGAACATGGGCGCTCGTCTCCTCTTCCTCCAAGCAGGCTCTGCACAGAGGGCTGTCAGAAATACCTATATTATAAAGGTGTTTGTTGAAGTAGCCGTGACCCGTGAGTATACCCACGATTTGTTTCAGGGCTTGTCTAGGTAGTCGGATTAACTTACGTGATAGCTGCTGGTTTACCTTAGGAACGGCTTCCCTAGCTTGCCTGCAGTCAGTGTGTTTTGCCCAATATTCATCGTGTTGTCGTTGACAGCGCTCCCTTATCCAGGTTCTCAGCTGTCGATAAGGTATGGGTACAATTGGCTCCGGGCCAATGGCCGTCCTGCTGGATCCCTCTCTAGCCAGGCAGTCAGCCGCATCGTTACCCCTTGAGCCGCTGTGTCCCTTAATCCATTGTAAGGTCAGTCTATTGTCATTGCAAATATTGGATAACTTACAGTGGCATTCGTAAATTAACCCTGATGTCATTATATTGTTGTCTAGTGCCTGTAGGACAGAAGCGCTATCAGAGAGAATACGAATATGTTTTCCTCTTACCCCGCGGCAGTCTATCGCCTCTGCGGCTCTAATGATGCCCACACACTCTGCCTGGAAGACTGTGTTATGTGC